CTTCAAATGATGACCCGGAAGAACGGGGCTGGATTGAAAGTAACCGGGTTGGAGAGCAAGTGCAATGCCAGATTTGTTTAATGCAGACTTTCTGCTGATCCTGTCAGGAACAGAAGCTCAGTGTGATTATATGGTTTGGGCCCAAATTGTTCTTTGCCACTGCATTCGTGGGATGAAAGCGCACGTACGCCCGAAGTTTTATGGTCTCGCTCATACATGCAAACCCTGGACCATGCCGCACCGAATAGTTGCAGCGTTGCCATGTCGGAACGAGACACACAGTTTGACTGTGACTGCATCAAACAAAGATGGGCCCAGATTTGCGATTGGTCATAGTCAACTAGGAAACGGCGACAGCATGCATGGGTCACGGTCGGACAACAGTTTTCGTAGTATGACTGACGGCGTCAAGGCGTCCTCCATACTCAGGGACGAAGTCAGCCTCTATACTATATTGCAATGTGCTGCCCACAGCGTTTGGTATTCCGCTCCATGAAAAACAGTTCTGTGTCAAAGTAAAAAAACATTTCATACGTTTTCTGTGTTTGACCATGTTTCTGCTGGTGATGGTGCTACATGATGCTACTAGTTTGGTTGCTACTGGGCATTCTCCCTTTGCGTTGTTATTTTGAGGCAGCGTGGTGGACGCTGCATGGGTGGTGTTTTTTTGCTGTTTGGTTATTGCACATTTTCTTATCATTGTCGTTGCTGTTTCTCTCCGTTATTGTTGATAGTTGTTTTTGTCCTCTGGTTGTTCTCATTCCCAGAGGCTTTGGATTGAATGTGAACTCCGCCCCACTTGATTGAAACAAATGGATGTCAGCTTCGGCTGAATAAGCATGTTTTTCCAAAGTCCTGGTGAGCAAATCTTGAGCACACACCTAGGGTTCGGAGCAACAAGTACCCAAAAACGTCCAAGGTAAAATTGAAAGAAGTAAGTATGACTCAGTATGACCAATAACTAGGCCGAAACAAACCTGCCTAGCTCTTCGTTCACGAGACTTTTGTTGAAGATTTAGGCGACCGTGCTGCTGACAGGATTCTGTGAAAGTCGGAAAAAGGTGCTGAGCAAAAAAGGGAAATGTTTTTCAAAAAACATCAGCTGCGGGTGAATATGGCTCCACAAAAAAGAAGCAGCTACTACTGACTTCTTGATCCGTCCATCCATCATGAATTTTGATTTGCAGCCAGGAGATATGGGAAAGCAGCAGCTAGCAGGGATGAGCCGATGAGTAGAAAAAAGGCAAGCTTTGAAAGCATCAAAGCACCTTTCAAAGCCGTTAAAACGTTTACAGCACACAAACCTTCAAAGCAAGCACCTGCAACCCCCAAAACTAGGCTAATTGGGCTTTGACATAGCAGGTCGAATGCAAGGCACGCAAAAGGGAGATGTGGCTAAAGAGACATGTGGTTCTTCAAAAAGCCCGGAAACACTTTATGTACAGTATTTATACACTAGCGAAACTAACACGCATATGTTTTTCTTCAGTAAATTCGGTCGATCTTTGAGGTCTAGGGTACAATCGATCCGCTGACCCCGGCTGATGCAAGGGGGAGCGCGTCAAGGATTACAGGTTTCTGTTTGTGCAGCAACAACAGCAACAACAACAACAAGAACAATAACAAGAACAACGGCAACAAGAACAACAAGAACAACAAGAACAACAAGAACAACAAGAACAACAAGAACAACAAGAACAACAAGAACAACAAGAACAACAAGAACAACAAGAACAACAAGAACAACAACAAGAACAACAACAAGAACACCAAGAACAACAACAAGAACACCAAGAACACCAAGAACACCAAGAACAACAACAACAACAGCAGCAGCAGCAGCAGCAGCAACAGCAACAGCAACAGCAACAACAAGAACAGCAACAACAACAACAACAGCAGCAGCAGCAACAGCAACAACAACAGCAACAGCAACAACAACAACGGCAGCAACAACAACAACAACAAAAACAACAACAACAACAACAACAACAACAACAACCACCACAACCACAACCACAACCACAACGACAACCACAACCACAACGACAACCACAACCACAACCACAACCAACAACCAACCAACAACCAACCAGCAACCAACCAACAACCAACCAACAACCAACCAACAACCAACCAACAACCAACCAACAACCAACCAACAACCAACCAACAACCAACCAACAACCAACCAACAACCAACAACCAACAACCAACAACCACAACCACGACAACAACAACAACAGCAACAACAACAACAACAACAAACAACAACAACATCATCATCAACAATCAGTGAAAAAGCTTTCAGTGCCAGGCAATGTGTTAGTCGCGTTTCAGACGACGCACTAGGGCGTTTTTTGCTATTTGTTTCTGAGCCGACCCATCCGTCCTTCACTGCCATGGTGTTTCCCTGTCCGGCACCCACGTTTTTGTACGCTTTGTATCGCTCTTGGCGCGTCTGACCTTCACTTAAAAGCGTGTGCCAATGTTGAGACTGCTAGTTTCGCTAGGCCGCTAGGCGATGTTTTGGTGCAGGCTGTCGCCTTTTTTGAAAGGGTTTCAGACGACACGTTAGGGAGTTTTTGGTCACTTTTTTTCTGGCCTATCCGTCTTTCACTGCCATGGCGTGTCCCTGTCCGGCAGCCACGTTTTTGTATGCTTTGTGTTGCTCTTAGGACGTATTCATGTCAGTGAGACATGCGTTTCAGACAGGGAGTTTGTTGTTATTTGTTTCTGACCCATCCGTCCTTCACTGCTTTCTTCGGCATGTTTTTTGCGGCTGTGCTGGCAACGTCGCTTCTACCTCTTTTGGACGGGTTTCAGACGACGCGTTAGGCACTTTTTCGGCGCTTCTTTGTAGCTTCTCCGTCCTTCACTGGCATGGTGTTTCCCTGGTTTTGGGCTGCCGTGTTTGCTTTTCGGTGCGTTTTTTGCAAACGTGCCAGCAATGCTGGCAAGGTCTGCTAGCAAGCTCTAGCTCTTTTGGAAGGGGTTTCAGACGGCACGTTAGGCACTTTCACTGGCATGGTGTTTCCCTCAAAATGTGGTAAATTACAGCACTTTGTACGCTGTTTATGTTCAATTTTTAAACGATCGATGCTTTCACATGTTCTTGGCATTCTTCAACAAGAAACAACGTTACAGATTGAAACTAGACGACAGTGTGGCCCCGAGAGAAAGCTGGAGGGAGGAGACGGGAAGATAGCACACAAGAAAATGTGATGATGAATGATGCAGGTGAGGAGCTTTTTCACAGAAGCGTTTACACACAGAAGCTTTTACGCACAGAAGAAGTCTTTATACACAGAACGGCTCTTAGACACAGAAGCTTTTACACACAGAGGCTTTTACACCGAGAAGTCTTTATACAGACTGGCATTTACACGCAGAATCTTTTGCACAGAGAAATGTCTTTACACAGAGGAGCTTTTACGCACAGAAGCTTTTACGCAGAGAAGTCTTTACACTAAGGAGATTTTGCACACAGAGGAGCTTTTACACACAGAAGCTTTTACACAGAGAAGTGGTTACACAGAGCTTTTACACACAGACGCGTTTGCACACAGAAGCGTTTGCACAGAGAAGCCTTTAGACTGAGAACCTTTTACACACAAGGGCGTTTACACACAGAAGCTGTTACACACAGAAGCTGTTACACAAAGAAGTCTTTACACAGAGCGCTTTAACACACAGACGCGTTTACACGCAGAAACTTTTCCACAGAGAAGCCTTTGCACAGAGAGCTTGTACACACGGAAGCTTTCACACACAGAAGTTCTTTCACAGAGAAATCTTTACACAGAAGCTTTCACACGCAGAAGCTTTTACACACAGAAGCTTTTACACAGAGAAGTCTTCACTACAGAGAAGCTTTTACACGCAGAAGCTTTTACGCACAGAAGCTTTGACACAGAGAAGTCTTTACACAGAGGCGCTTTTGCACGAAGTGGAAAGTTGAAATTGGCAGCGATTCTTTAGGAAAAGCCCTTCGCAGGAGCTTTCGGGAACAAGCCTTCGCCACTTGCTCCAAGAAAAAAAACGCCGATTTCCAACAAAGTTCCACGTCCATGATTCCATGAATATGTTGAAAAAAGCATCAGGAATATATTTCCGAGCTTTCAAGCCCACCCTGCGATGAAATCGAGGGCCAAGTGGTCCGGCGGAGCCGACGACGAGCGTCAGCTCTGGCGATGCCTCTGCCGTAGGTGTGTACACCTATACACCGTAGCTTTAGCTACCGGGCGCTGCCGCCGACCCCCAAAAAAAACTTCACTCTCCCTGTGTTTTCACGCGTTTGGGGGTCCGTGGCCGGGAAGAAAAATGCTAAAATCATAAGATTCTTTTGGAAGTCGATTTTGGACTGTTTTTTGAGAATGTTTTTGATGATTTTTTGTTGCGCTCAAGAAGCAAACACATCGTAAAATACAGTGTTTTTGTCCTTTTCGACTTTTCGCATCTATAAATTACATCTTGCAACATGGTGAAAACTGCGTAAATACCAGTGCTTCTGCTAGGCACTCGCACACAAACATTGTAAATACCGTGGTTTTTGCTACCATGGTTTTGGGCTTCCGAGGCACAAAAAAATTATAAATACCGTGGTTTTTGCTACCATGGTTTTGGGCTTCCGAGGCACAAAAACATTGTAAATACCGTGGTTTTTGCTACCATGGTTTTGGGCTTCCGAGGCGCAAAGCACATTGGTATTTAGGATGTTTTTTTGCTCCGAGGGTTTCGAAAATATGCGAAAAACACCGCCTATTTGACGATTTTCAGGTGTCCACAAAAATGCGAAAATAAGCTGTGTTGCAAGAACAAGAACAGCAGCAGCAAGAACAACAAGAAGAAGAACAATAATAATAACAACAAGAAGAACAAGAAGAAGAATAATAACAAGCATTGAAAAGGCAACAACATGATGTGTGGTAAGATGGTTACAAGCTGCGGTATGACAAGAACATCACACTGTGCTATGCACCTGCGCGCACGTGCAGAGCACTTGAACAACACCAACGCTGACACTACTATACATAGCCCTTGTGGCATCGCCGGTGTGCGAAGCTCTACAACATATATATATATATAAAATATCTGGGTAAATTAAAATGTTTCACTAACCTGAACTAAGGCCATTTGGGGATGATTTCCCTTATTAACCATGATTCCAGTGAGGTCGCAGTGAGGTCGTTATAATTTATCAAGATATATGTATACACTAGCGAAACTAACACAAATATGTTTTTTTTTCTGCAGTAAATCCAGCCGATCTTTGAGGCCGAGGGTACAACCGATCCCAAACATATTGAAATTTGCTGGACGCTTTGAATTCTAGCATCTCAAAGGAACCATGGAAATTAGTTTCCCAACCATCGGTTGCAAAATGGACAACCCTGGCCTTGGTTTGCAGCATACATGATTACTTGTTTGTTGATCTGTTTTCTAACCCTGAGGATAAGATCAGGTCAGAGAACAAGGGCCAACCGAGAAGTGAGCATCTGTGGCTAATAATTGGGTGATTCCATACCCTTATCATAGCTGGGTTTTAAAAAGTATACATTGCTTTGCAATCCAGTCAAGATCACCACGGATCAGGACTGCTCCGAGGAGCATTTGCCTCATCAATCATTATCCTCGGATGCTCTGACCGTCTCTGACCAATTCTAAAGCTCGAATTTCACAGCGGGAGAATAAATAACAACCATATATGGCTTCGGGAATTCATGGGAATTCTATTGGGGATTATTGGGGCACCAACTGGATTCCCATACACAAAGTAACCAGCTATGGTGAATGCTCCCAATCCCTTGTCCACAGAGGTTGGCAAGCGCCTACCGTTGCATATGAATTAGGTGATCATAATTGCTCATCAGTCAAGGCTGTTTGCGACTCATTGTCAGCACATCAGGCTTCAACAAGCTAAAGCTAGACACGTCATTTCGATGCAAAGCCGCTTTCAAAAGAACGATAACTCCTCCTCCGTCAGAACAGGATGGACGAAAGCAAATCAAACATACTTAGCGTTTCGATAACATCTTCCTCTTCCCTGTTGGTGATTTCGAATCATCTACAAAAACAACTATTTAGTCTGCCGCATCATGTCCAACAGGTATCGGGAAAAACAGCCCTAGGCTTCCAAACACCGGGAAACACATCAGCTTTTGAGAAGGTGTTTGGAAGTCTAGAGTCTAGGGCAGTAGTCGAAACGCAATATTGGAATGGAGCACCACTGAGGCACTGCTGAGTGACCACGGGCTTGGTTTCTCCAAAGGTGGGGAACAAACCAAGCATATCCGGAAATAAACTAACTTTAATAAGAAAAGCATGATGCGGGGTACATAACCAAATCAGTCAAACACATCGGTCTTGTTCATGTATCCACAAATGTATCCCATGTTTTCCATGAATCTGGCTATCCGTTGGGATGACGCCCATGTTTGATCATTTTTGGACAAACAAAATTGAAGTCACTTCCCTGTCTGCGGGGACCATGACATCATCATGCGAGACCACCCTCATTTTCGCTAACCTTGATGGTTAACCCATCGCAGGAACCAACCAGATACAGGTTTCCAGTTGTATTGGCTAGATATGGAGGAACATGCTACTGAGTAAGTGGCAAATAATCATCGTCACAACCAGTGAATATCTGGGAAACACACAATAAGCTCCCGACTTAATTAAGCACTTACAATCACCAGGGCTGTTCACCCGTTTCATTCTAGTTGAAATATATTCCCACTACTTTTGCTTGGTTACATCCTGTTTTGGTTGCTGATTTATCAGTCCTTTGCAACTTTAGATTAGGATGATTTTCCAAGTATTCGGGCGCAAATTATTGGATATTCGGCAGGGTTTCCCGCCTGAACATCCCTTTTTCAACGCCTGTAAAACATAATCTACCGTGAGCTTGTGGTGCTAGCGGTTTTTGTAAGTTGCAAATTCACCTAGATTTTATGCACTGAATCTGACCATATCTGACCTGAGTGCCGTTCCATAATGGCAATTGAGTTGCTCTTGGGGCCGTCATGATCAATCAAAGCCTCTGAGCCCAGCGGGGCTGGCTTCCGGGGCTTCAACCCATCCCATAAACGTCAATTTCATCGTCGGAAGAACATCTTTGAAGCGACCTGCCAAACACCCACATCACATCTCTATAGATATAAAAATATGTGTGTATATTATATTTATATATATATATACATAATGTTGTCTAGTATATATATATATAGTTGAAACAGTATGTATATATATATATTGTATATTAATAATGTATGAATATATATATACACATGTATTTATACATACATACATATATATATATATATTCATACATTAATGCCTGAAGAAAGATCTATTACCGTCCTCCGACCTCTCAGAGACCCTGCCAAATAGGAGATTGGAATGAAGGCAATTTTCCTCATAAATATGGCTAACTCTCAGGGTTAAGCTGCAAGAAAAAAGAAACATGTCAATTCAATAAGTTCACCCATAATTCATCAAACAATTCTCCATGAAAACCCATCAAAGATCCCATTCTTTTGGAATTTCCCTTACCACAACCCACAACGAACCCACAGAGGGGCTAGGCTCCGCACTGGGATCTTGGAGTTGGGATTCGCACCTGGTTGAGGCATCAGCAAAAGATTACGATTTTCCCCACAGAAAGACATACAACATATGGGAATTAAGAAGGGATTTGACATCAAGCAGTTCCTGCTGACAGCAAAATGGGGATTTTGCCGAGCAACTTGGGGAAGTTTGAGGGATTTGAAATATAACGAGCCAAAATGGGTGATTCAACCATATTCAACCAACTTTACCCAAGAAGATAGGGGGGGTTCTACAAATGGCCATTCACGGAGTTAAAATTTTGATATTCGGCCGACCTTGGATACCCTGCACAAGAATTGTATATCGTTCGAAAGGTCCCAAGAAAGAGACCATGTCCACTGGCAGTTGTATATGATATTAGTCAGGTGATACTAGTAGTCCATAAAAGCTCATATTCTGGAAAATGATGAACACTGTGTCGCTGTCCGTTTATTTTAGCTCAAGCTGCTGCCTGATGCCTTCTCTGGGTCTCGGTATCATCGGGTTGGGGCTTTCTACATTTTTCAAGGTTGAAAAAGATTCGTGCGTCAGATAGTGTCATCATCGCAGGTGGGATGGAACAACATGACAATTATATCGAAATCACCAACAAGCGATCCCTATCCCTTACTCAAACTCCAGACTTCCAAACACCTGCGAAGTTTTTTGAACCGACGTATCGCTCGATCAGCTTCTCAGGAGGTGTTAAGAAGTCTGGGAATAAGATGATAATGGTGGACGTCCATACCCAATAGATCTATGTACAGTGGATATTGCAAGGTTTCCCTAGCAAGTGCTGCAACAGGCCAATTGGTGTGTTTTCAATGCACCGACACCATTGATATCCATTGATGCAATCCGATGTTTCGGTGCCAAGTCTTGACTGTTTGGTGGTTTTAACCTAATGGCCCTAGACCTTGGTCGGAAAATATCAGAGATCAACTGGGGGGACCGGACGGACGAAAAATACTTGAAACAACACACTAAAAACAACTACATAAAAGTACTACGCTAATATCCAACTTGAGAAGTATGCAGCGCCTTGACTATCCCACGAAGAACACCTTTTCCAAGTGGGATATACTGATATATGTTACATTACATTACATTCATACATTGCATTGTATGGAAAATGCATTTCCCAATGTTTGGCTCAAATTCATCCATGAAACAAACCCGAGTTTCCCCGAACATTGCCAACCAAACAGCTGCATCCTAGTGACCCACAAAGCCACTGCTGAACTGCTCACCAGCACCTGCGCAAAGCTGCTGGTGGCACCCCTCAAAACAACAACAACAAAAAAACATCCGTTTTCTCACAGTCACATGCGAAAGACGGTGTCTTTTCGAAAAAAATGCACCAGAACTATTGCGCATTCTGATGGAGCATGGCTTGCTGTTGCTGTTGCCAGGAATATGTTGGAGATCTGGGCCCCTAGATGACTGGGTTGGTTTATAATTAACTCCAATAACTAGGGGGTACGGGTATGGTAAATAATGGTACATATATCTGTATAATTTATGTAATGGGTTTATGAACAAATTCATAGCTGGGAGGGGGCCCCCAACCTTGAATAATTATGCAACCATTTGTCTGTTCACAAGGACTTAAATCCGCTTTAATCACACATCACCGGCCCATGAGGCCGACATTGAACCAGTAGGATAGAGCAAAATCTGTCTGAGATTATGCGTCGTCGAAGTCTTGGGTTTGACACAGCATTTGCAGGAATCCGTTTTGTTTGATAGAACCCTGGCAGTGGTCATTTCAGGAACCTAAATTGAAGGTTCCTACCGTATATAAGGGCTGTGTAAGGGCTATGTCAGGGAATATGGCCCCAAAACATGGCTTTATATGGTACAGTACCTCTACTTTAGGTAGCTGGAGTGGCCATTGACCCTGGTTTTTCAAATCTATTCCTTGAAATCAACACACTGACATGGGCTAAGCTTGATTGTTTTTCCAAAACATAATATACAGTACATGTCGTTAATGAAATCATCATTCTTGCAGACTCAGGACAGCAAAACAACACAGGACAAAAAAACACAACGCATAGTTCACACATGCTGTGTGGTTCAAAAAAAACGCATAATGTGGTAAACCCAATTTCATAAACCATCCCCAAAATTTGGGGTTTTCCCAGGCATCCCCAGTGATGGTAGGTTTATGGCCTTGGGTTTCCCGGACTATTCCTGCTTATCCATAGATAGATTGGCGTTTCCTCTGTTACCAAGGTTAGTGAGCAGTATCAAACACCTATTGAAAATTTCCTTTGAAATCGTTGGTGAATGGGGATTGTGATGGTGGAGTATGATCATGAAAATCCCTGATATATCATGGGGTCCGGGGTGTCGGTCTGGATAAGCCTGGATAAGCCATGGATAAGCAAGGATGATCAATGATGATCATTTTCAGAAAGGAAGGTGATTTTTTGGGTGTTCATTGAAAGTCTGGGAGGTACAAGAGTGATTTGACTTGAACTTTTGGGTGGGGGTTGGGTGGCTAAAGGCTGAATAAGGGCTTAATAAGGGCTTATCCAAGGCTTAAATGATAAGCATTGGACCAACATTAGATAAGCGAGAAACAGCAAACTATTCTGCATACCCTCCCCCCACAAAAAATGACCCCTCAGGACCCCAGATCCCAAAATTGCCAAATTTGAGGAAAAATGGTGAACACACATGGCAATCACCTCAAAATCCCGGTGCCCTTTGTGGGTTGTGGCTTAAATCACCGATTGCTTTTGATAAGCAATGGGTAAGGAAGTTCAGCTATCAATGGGGAATCAGACGTTAATAAGGCCCTGAGGCCTTAACGGTCCTTAAAGGATAACCCTTACTTAGCCTTAATAAGCCCTTAATAAGGCTTAACAAGACCTTAATAAGGCCTTAATAGGGGTTTATCTTTTCCAAGCCTTATCAGGAGCATAAATGATAAGCTCAGGCCCCCTTCCCAGACCCACCTCCTCGATTCCATGAATACTATCTATCTATCTATTTATCTATCTACCTATTTTTCTATATCTCTGTCTATCTATCTATCTAGCTATCTATCTATCTTATCTTATTTTATATTATATTATATTATATTATCTTTCTTATCTTATCTTACTATCTTACTATCTTCCTATATTACTATCTTACTATCTTACTATCTTACTATATTACTATCTTACTATATTACTATCTTACTATCTATCTATCTATCTATCTGAACAAAAATATATCATATATATAGATATACATATACATTATATCGACATATATATATGTATGTATGTATGCATGCATGTATGCATGTATGCACGTATGCACGTATGCATGTATGCATGTATGCATGTACACATGTATGCATGTATGCATGTATGCATGTTTGTATGTTTGTATGTTTGTTTGTATGTATGTATGTATGTGTATGTAAAGGTATATGTATATGTATATGTAAATGTATATGTATGTATGTATTATATGTATATGTTGGTGGGTAGCATCTATAAGTTTAAAAGACTCTATTGTAAGACAGTATAGTCATCAACCAACCATCATTTACCATGAATGTAAAACCCTACATTTGTTAGATAGTAAAACCCTTCATCATCAAGTGCTAAATTAGTCCCATGAAAAATGGCACGCTTGTTTTGCCCATATTGAACATTTCTATCCACATTTAGCCCGTTTCTTCTAGATCTTTCAGCATTTCATCGTTAAATTCATCCACATTAGTGGAAGAATATCAGCATCCTGCCACCACCACCACCAGCATTCACCAGGGGGCGTGCCGATGTTCACCACGTGCGCGTCATAGGCGACTTCCAGCTCCTGGCACAGAAAATTGGGTGCACTTGTCACATTTCTCTCCCTTACTTTTGGGGATTATTTTTCATCGCCATATTTGGTTACCAAATGGTAATTCTATTGGGCTTTCATTTTTTTAAGGAAAATCCTTTACACAATTTGCATGAATGATGTTATTATGTAAATAACTATAAATATTATAACTATATATATATAATTATATATATAACTAAATAAAAATATATTACTATATATATATATATATAACTTTTAAAAAAAACTATATATATATATAACAATATATATAGCACTATACATATATAACTATACATATATATATATTTATAAAACTATATACATATAGCTACAAATATATATATATATATATAACAATATATACAAATAACTATCTATATAAAAATGAAAATAACTATATATATATATATTAAAAGAAAACTATATATATATAATTAAATATAACTATATATATATATATATATGCTACCACCCCTGAAACCTACGATTTTTGGTTTTTTATTGTGTGTTACAGTGATTTTTGTTGGTTTTTGCCCTTCAAAAGCAGCCAGCATTTTTTCATTCATTTGAAGACTTTGGATGCTTGATCATGATGAGTCATGATGCTTCATGTGTAGATACAATGACATATTTTGATGGTATTTGCAGCGTTTTCGACTACCATATTGTGTTCCCAACAAAGGGTTTCAATTCAAACATTGACAGAATGCGCACGGCACTATGGCCAAATGCCAAGTTTAAGCTTCACATTGGTTTTTACAGTGTTTTTATTCCTTTTTGTGACGCATTACATTTTCGATTTTGTATGCTTTCAGATCTAGCAGGCATATTATTTCATGATTCAAAGTTTTGATGCTGTGCTGTCGAATGACATGCAGACAAGATGGCTGGCCCCAGATCACATTTTTTTAAGCCGCACATCCCCTGCAGAATTGTCTTGGCGAGCTATGGAACCATTTTGGCCGAACAGCAGGCGAGCCAAAGATCACTGTTCCTGTGCCAGTACTCGTACTGGGCACTCTGATCTTGGCACGCAGCAGTGGTGAACCGACAGCCGCGTTCTGGTCCAATAAAGGTTCCAAGCGCTGCGAACATCCGCAGTCCACTCGCCATCACCTCCAGGGCGAAGGCGTAGCTGCCTCTGAATGGTGCCCATCATGGTGGTGAGGTCCTTCTTCCCGAGCGGCTGGCGGCTCTCATGAACTTTGAAAGTTCCTGCTCCAATTTTTTCCAGCAGCTGACATGTGGATGGCTGGATCATGGTGACATTGATTTCAGGCTCCGGTGTTGGGCCTTGAGGAGCCAATGTCATGATAGCCTTGCCCTGGTTACATGTTCACCCTGCCCGTCACATTGAAGGTAAGGGGAAACGCCATGGTCCAAGGCAGACAACAGTGGAAGCGCTGGAGGCTGAGAACAAGAATGGCACTGGGGCAGCGACAATGGATTGCAAGACTTGTGCTTAGGCATTCTGCAGCCTGAAGGAATGCATTCCAAGAATTGTACTTAGGCCTTCTGCAGCCTGAAGGAATGCATTCAGAATGCATTCTTCCCAAAATCTAAGATCCAAGATCCAAGAGTTGCGGAGATGTCTTGTGCAAATCTTGGATTTGGGATTTGCCAGAATACCCTTACCAATCCCTATCAAAATTCTTTAGGAATCCAAGATTTTGATCAGGAGTCTTGTGGGAATCTTGGATCTTGGATCTTAGATTTGGGGAAGAATGCATTCTGAATGCATTCCTTGAGAATGCAGAATGCCCTTAAACAAGGAAGGAAGAATCAAAATCAACACAAGGAATCAAAATCAACATTCTGCTTACTACCCTCTGTGTCTTTTGACCCAACCATCTGATGAATATGTCAAAAAGGTAGGTTTCAGGGGGCGACCATAAATAAAGGATATATGTATATATAAGTATATATATATATATCGTAGTTTGCAGTCTGTTTTCTGGACTATTACCATCAGTTATGGTGAAGAAAGGGTGGTTCAACCAGCACAACTTGGGATTTAACCGATGATGATATAGAATAAGAATGAAATATATATAGAATATTGATGGGATTAAACCAATGAATAGTGGGTTTATGTAAACGAAACGGCTCAGGAAGACGCCGGTGTCCCCATTCTGATGATATTTCTGGTGTCCCCATCCCGGAGTACCTCCATTCACGCCATCCCAGTGACCCGTCTCCGCACCTCCAACAGGATTCCCACCTTCCAGCCATTGGGCGTGGCCAAGGAATACAGCCTTGGTGGATCAGAAGTACCACCAGCGCATGTGGTACCCCTTCGAAACATTGATAGCTCCATGTTGGAAGCCTAGGGAAGAATAGAAAGAGGAAGATGGGAATAGCATTCACACGATTTCCGATGATGAGCTAAAGTGGCAAACCCAATTGTGCAGTGTTCTTTTTGGTGGGAATGGTTTTCAATACCCCAAAGAGTAAATCATTGTGGAAATCGTATAGTTTCTCGTTGGGTTTACCACACTTCTGGGCTTATACGCGCGGAGATCTCTTCACTCGGTGTATATTCAACAAGATGAAGCTCAGGGCTTACAAACTTTGAAAGAATGGCCAGCACCAAATACTGCCTGTCCCACCCAGTGCCATGTGACGTCAATGCTTTTTTTGAACCGCCAACGTGTCTTAGACAGGAAGGGGCGCTATGCGATGCTAAATGATGCTATGCTGTTTCAAGTGCGAACGTCCCACAACTGTGGAACACCAAGGCCTTTTGACACAGCTTGCTTGCTACAGATCATTGCTAAATTCAGACCTATGATACCATGTCTTTCCACGGATATGATGTTCTTGTATATATTATATATAAGTGACAATCAACTCATTCATCAATCAAACCATCGCCCTCTCTGAAACTGTGACCAAAATGAAGATTCCCGGCAGCAAGATAGGGCTCATTCCTCGAGAAGAAACCATGCAGCACATGCGAGCCAGTACACGCTTTTCTTTGCAGTTAAATCTACTCAAAACAGAGTGGGAAAGAACACAACAAACAACATACAACTAATCAACTAGTAGTTGGTGACAGTTGGTGTGTTCTCAAGAGGTGTTACTGGCTCTGGGAATCTCAAGAATATCGAGACGCGGATCCCCAGGTTTGACACACAAACCGAGGATGATTTGCACATGTTTTTCTTGCTGAAACGGAGGTCTTCATAAGATCATAAGTGTACCCCAATAGCTGGATGGTTTATAATGGAAAAAAACAATAAAATGGATGATTCAGGGGTACATAATCACACTTTAGGACACCTCCGAATAGGTTCAAGGCAAGTCAAACAAACGAGGGCTCCATTGCAATGTACATTCCCTCGTTCCGCTCACCACAGGCGTTGCAATGCTCCAGGGGCTGACCTAAAGCATGGGGGGAAAACTCATGGGGTGCTGCGGAAATGAATGCATCACCCAAAGGGTAAAGGGGAACCCTTAGAGAAAAATGATGATCACAATCTGATAAACCAATAGTCATTTCTGGATTTATTAACATCAAATATGATCACCCCATGAATTTCGGTGTGTACCCGATTTCCAAACACATCCATATCTTCTCAAGCAAATCACAGATGAACTCGTGGGTGACATGACCCCTGGAACCCGTGTTGTTGGCTGTGGATAACCACCACCTGTAGAGGTTTACCAGGAAAATGCCCTCTAGTAATTCAACTAGAAACTATGGGAAAAATAACGTGTTTGATTGGTAAATCGCTATGGCGATTGGTTACCGAAAGATCATCAAAAACTGGCTCTATTAGATAATTCAGCATCGAGAAATCCACAGTGATTTTCGGATGATTCACTTTACTACATACACATCATCCACAGTGATGTGAAGAGGGCTAATGAGAGTCAAATTACCACCCATTATACCAACCCCAAACAAATAATGGATGATTTAATATGGTTTACTGAAGTTTACTATATATACCCCTGGGAAAGACACCCATTTGAAGATTTCCCTAGCCACAAATGCCCATGAAAACAGGGCATGTCGCCATAGATCTCCTTCTCATCCCGATTTCAAACTTGTCCTTTTGGGGTACCCTCTGGTAAACTAACATAACTATGGAAAATCACCATTTTTAATGGGAAAACTCGCTATAAAAGGCAATTTTCAATAGCTATGTTAAATTACCAGAGGGTAGCTCCTAACAACTTTACTAACTTCAGCCGACATCATCCATTTGACCCCCCAAACAAAACTCACGCAGGGAGTGTACATTTGAGCAGTTTGAGAAGTGGCCAAAGTCCTTTGTGATTTCCTTGACAGTGTGGGGTTTATGGGCAGAATTAGCGCACATTAATCCCAATTGATCTATTTACAAGTTACATGGAGATTGCCAGTGCTGGATTCATAACCCTCCTCTAAGTGGTTGTGGCCATTTCCACACCCATTTTTGGGGAGTTGAGGTTGTTTTTTTGGGGGCATCTGCGGCAAATATGCCTGCAGCACTGTTAAAGGAAATCCTAGAGAGCAAGTTGTCCTGCCAGTTGCTGTGGTCAGGCTGTGGTGGAAGAAAGCCATTCCATATTAAATTCCCATATACGGATATATAATATACTGATATATACGCTGACGCTATCAGCTTTGCTGTTGTTGCTGTCATTCTGATCCCAACCCAGCCGTGAGCTCAAAACATCTACGTAAGGCATTATTCCCCCATATCTTTGGAAGGGCTGTGAAGACCCTAAAAATCCTGGGTCAACAATACAGTTCTTGTTTCTCAAGTCCAGGGGTTCTCTATACTCTCTACACTCGGTTTCGCTGGAATTGGGTATTCCAAGAGTTGATAGTTCAAAGTATATAATGTCGTCATGATTTTCCACCTTGAATTAGCTATTTTGGAAGCCCAAACTTTCAGACACACCCAAACATAAAGCCATTATATATGACATCCCAGAAATCCCATGCCGTCCCATGGTTCAATATATGACATCCCAGTTCTCCAAATATGATTTAAGGCTTTACCACAATAGGAAGTTCTCCAAAAACTGCGCTCTCTCCATGGCACTCATGTAGTCTCCGTGGCATTGCGGACACCGGCACCTGTGAGGGATTCTCGATTTAATCCATCAACATGTCCTGTTTAAAACAAAGAAAATTCAGATTTAGCCCATCAGAAAATACTGATTCAAAGAAGGAACCAATGCTTCAACATGTGGAAAACCTATGAAAACTTGGGGATTGCTTTTCAGGAAATGGAGGCTTCCTGTATATGTCCTTCAACCAATTTTGAACAAATTGGTATCCTTAAGGTAAATAAGGATTTCACCAAACAACACGTGGGAAGTTTATCAATCAAAATACTGAAAAAGGGCAGTTCTAGAACAAAGTTGGGGATTCGACGACGATTTTTGAACTTCTCAAATCGTGTGCATCACCATGTTGCTGCTTGGTCAGTTTTCGTGGTTGGCAGGTATCTATACGCACTTCATCTGTCAAAAATCCTGTAGCAAAAACATCCTCTTCTCAATTGGTTAAACTTGAGTGGAATGGTGATTTTCTGTGATCTTTCCCAAACAACAATCCATTCAAGGTGTTTGCCTTGACCTTTACAGTACATGTATGCAGCATATCTTGCAACCCACGTCCACATAATTCACCTCTTCGGCCTTCAGCCCCACCAAAACCCCAAATCTATCAAGTCCCCATCTCCAAATCTGCATGCCAGGAATCGTACATGGATAATAACCATATACACCAACTTAGACTTAGATTAATTAATGGGCTATGGCCCACTTAGACTCATGGCTTCTGATATCTTCCTACTGGCTTTTCGATTCGCCACACACTACTTTGGATTCAACACTCAACCTTCTATCATCCAAAAACCCAATACCCTCCAGATCCCTCCAGTAATCAAACATGGCAATTGCAAATCCACCATCCATAGATTAGTTTCCCAACAAAACACCATTTAATTACAGTATAGAGGATTTCCCAGTTTGTCATCTTTAATTACCAGATTGTAATCTCCTAATTATGATCCTAGTATATCCACAATGAGATTCCATTCATATCCCATCATGGTTATATTCCCATGACGTTCCGATTATATATGGGTCATGATCACATCTTCCCACGCTCCCATCGCTAGCGGTCCAGCTCCAAGGCACGCTTGTTTACACACCCGGCACGGCTTCTTGATGCTTCCGCAGCTGCCACAGCCATTTGGCATGCCATCTCCATGACACTCCGTACAGGCGCAAACGCCTGCGGTCAGGATGGCGACGGGTTGGGAATGACGCTGCTGGCCAACCGGCAATGAAATGCTATCTCAATGCTTGTCATTAGTTGATTAAATGTTTGGTAATCAACTGGCATCCAACTTTTTTTGAGACCTATCTCTGTGCTGCAATCAACCAATCATTCTCTCATCCTGGCCAATACTGGTCAAAAAAAGACAATGAGTGGCTGCTAAGGCAAAAACAAATGATCCACAAAAGAGCCAACTACAGAGGATGCCAACACACACACATGTATATATATATATATATTTCTATAATCATATATATATATATATATGCGCAGGTATAATCATATATATATACATAGTGTATGTATATAAAATAATTACAGAAATGTCCATATCCCATTAATATCCCATTCCCGTGATCTCCTGGATATCCCCATGGATTACCCTTCATGACACACTCGCGCCTTCACATTGGGAACAATACCGCACGTAGTACAGCATCGCCGAATCGCCGTCCTCGGGAAAGGTTTTATCATCATGATTCGAATCCCGTGAGAAAATCCGCTATTGAAGTAGGATGATGTTGCCTTTGTATTTTGGGGGTTACATAAATGTGTATAGATCATGTTCCCTTCTCTGATTTTTGCTATCGTCTTATATCATCTTATATAATCTTCCAAATCTCCATGGGAGCTGCAGCTGCCTTTGCCACGCGTCGAGGATTCCCAAATAGAAAAGGCTGAAGGAATCCACTGAAGCCTCCGGTCTCGTCTGATGAATCCAGCGCAAATCCGAGCGGTTCCAGACCAACTTCTGATCTCGGACCAGAGGACCCCCAGAACCTGAGTTTGGAATCAGATGAACAGCGACAAACCAGGGAAACCTTTTTCATACTAAGAACGTTTCCGCTAATTTAAGGAAGATCGTCGCATGATAAATGTTGTAAAACTAAATAAATCACAAACAATCTAACAACAAAACACCTGATTCACCAACCATATGGTGAAATTTTATATCATCCCAAATATGGGGTGCACCCAAGAATGCACCTGTATTGGGGATGGTTTCTTATTGGGGTTACCACATTAGATCCAATACAATCCAAACATATTCATCCATATTCAACCAAATAACCAGGGAATTGATGTACTTCCTGAGTGTGCACTAGTGTAACCTGTTATTAGTGGCAGGCTGTTTGCTGGTCTCATGCCAATGTTTGATGGTTGACCAAGTTGGCCTGTGGTGGTCGAGGCACTGCAAATGTATTGCTTCAAGTGCAGCAATGTTTCGTTCAACGAACAAGTAACCTCAGCTGTGATGGGATCGCTACACATTGTGAGACTGGCTGTGCTTCAACAATCATTTTGGATGAACTGGTTGTTGCTGAAAACAAGGTCTCAAGAGATTAGAGTGGGATAGCCGGGATGGCAATTTTGTGGGTCCCCAGTGGTCGAACATGCCCTTTTTGGACAAGAAATGTTGTGGGGCCGCTCTGGTAGACCATTTTTCATCCCTGCATCAGTGCTTATGAGGTGGGGCTACCACATGTATTACTAATCAGCAAACCAATGGGAAAATTACGTCTATGGACAACATGTTGCCGCGGGTCATCTTAGATACCCTTCAGAAAAGGCAAGGTTTTAGTAGTAGAGGCCTCCATTTCTGGTAAAACAAATCACTCACTAACCTACCCAGGTCAGTTGGAAGACTCAATTCCATCCTTCACAGGCAACTGGGCATACATGCTCTGGCAAACTCTCATGTTTCTGGTTGTGTGTGTGCGTATCCTGTTATGACAAAAAGGCAGTAGCAGGTCAGCTGTCAACTCGTGATACGCAGGGGGACAGAGTTCTCTGATGTCCAACGAAGCTATGCACCAGAGAGGGAGGCATCCACTGGCCATGGATGTGTACCTGTGAATCCTTTGATTCTTCTATTGTAATGCTGTTGGTTTCGATTATATGTCAAGAATCTTCCTGTGATCTATGGCAACTGGGCTAAGCCACAAACCCAGCATGCGGAATTTTGCTCATTAAGGATGCAATAACTCAGGAATCTTCAAGGCGAGGACAAGGTCTATCAACAGTACCTCCACAACATACCCAATCTCCAGTGTGTTAATAGCCGTGAGCGGGCATTTTCCCATATTCCGAGTGAGCTGTGAACTTTCACAACTTTGAAGCCGTCTATCCTTTGAGCAAAGCAGAAGCAGTCTTCCATGACAAAGACATTCCACCTCGTGTGGAACAATAAACCAGTAGCCACACGGCGAAGTAGCCATAAGGCGAAGCAGCTCTACAGAGCGAAGAAGCATGAGCAAAAGTCCAATAGAAGTTCAAGCACTGACTACGCTTGACAGTGGTCAAGGGCTTGGGACATCCCCCTCCCTTGTCCTTCCCGTCCTTTTCCTTTCCTTCTCTTTCTTCCTCCTCTTCCCTCCCTCTCGCTGCTGTGTTTTTGCTTTGTTGCCTGTTCTGCTTTGCACTGTTTGCTCTTCTGCGTGCCAGGGTCGGGTTCCTGTGTGCTTCTTCCCCCTCCCTCCTCCCTTTTCCGTTCTTTGTTCTGCCTGCTTATTGTGTCGTTGTTTTGTTGTGGCTGGCTGTCCTTGTTCCCTCCCTCCTTCTCTCCCCCTTCCTGTTTGTGCGTGTTTGTGTCCAGAACTCAGCCTTACTTGGACAAATGTATTCCCTCGTGAGTTGCAACAAGCTTCAAGATTTTCGGGGACTATTGGCCAGTATTGATGCAAATTTACTCACGTACAGATTCAAATTCGACATTGAGAAGCTGCTGAGTGCGTTTCACCGTCCATTTCTTTTGAGCGATCTATTGCGATTTGTTGCAAAATATTGCCCAGCAAAGGGCCTCTGTGTGTGTGTGTATCCTGTCTTGACAAAAAGGCAGTAACAGGTCAGCTGTTAACGCGTGATATGCAGGGGGACAGAGCTCTCTGATGCTACTCTGTCCAACGAAGCTATGCACCAGAGAGGGAAGCATCCACTGGCCATGGATGTGTACCTGTGAATCCTTTGATGCTTCTATTGTAATGCTGTTGGTTTCGTTTATATGTCAAGAATCTTCCTGTGATCTATGGCAACTGGGCTAAGCGACAAACCCAGCATGCGGAATTTTGCTCATTAAGGATGCAATAACTCAGGAATCTTCAAGGCGAGGACAAGGTCTATCAACAGCACCTCCACAACATACCCAATCTCCAGTGTGTGTGTGTGTCTGTGGGTTCTTGTAAGCATCGCCACTGCTGCAACGTCTACAAATGACCCAAACTTGAATACAATTCATATCCAACAAACATGATGCCAACCCACAAGGGTCACAAAAAGGCCTCTGTCCGGATTCTTGATGGGACTGTCATTCCTTCAGCACCGAAATTGCGACCATGTCAGCCCCATGTCAGCCCAGCTCGGAGAGATCCAAGACGCCTGAAATGCTGCTCCACCCAAAGATTGGATCTCAACTCTCACCAACTGTTTGCCCGGAGAAGCTTGTGCACCGGCAACATGTCTAGGATTCAACATCCTCGGTGGGACTGTTTCAATGGGAAAATCTATACACATTAAATACATTAATTATTGACACATTATGGAATTCCGGGACATCGAGAATAGCAAAACAACTGGAGCATAAAGTCATTGCAGAAGGGCTCAGGGCAGCAAGACCCGAAGACACACCGCGCCACGGCTAAACGGCGAAGTCATTGCTCTGTGTCTTTTGCAAGGCACGCCGTGTTTTGCAGACATCACAAAAAGCACGCTCGCGCTCTGAAAGGAGCATTGCAGCATTTCCCATTGACACACCTTGAGTCAAAAGGGTAAGCAGATGAGCAAGCAGGCAGGCAAGCAGACAAGCAAACAGTCCAAGCCAAGCAGGCTGGGGCAGTCAGGCAAGGATGCAAGCTCGCAGGCAACCAGCCAGCACGCAAGCCAGCAGCAAGCAGGCAGGCAGGCTGCCGAGAAAAACTGCCCAGATATCACCGTGGAGATGCATCCCGGAGATGGTAAACAGCTAATATATGGTAATATCCCAGTCAAAAGCAATAGTTCAAAAATTATATGCATGTACATATGTATATATAAAATATGTACTGCATGGTATATATAATATATGTCTATATCATATATACCGCGTATACGGTATACGTATAAATACAAACATCCTAATATGTTTGGAGGTATGAACGACATGCCAAGTAGAAAATCCCCATCCAGTTGTTCCCCGTCGATTCCCCCACTTTTGATTGGACCAGCGTCTTCAAATTCTCCATTTTCTTCCGATCGAGCTCCCACACTTCCTGCTGCAAGTTCTGCCTGGGCACATCATGATTTATTGACAGGGATCTGATCAAACATGATTGTTGATTTCCAATGGAACCACAGATGTTTGTTTATGTTCTTTGTACTCAACTACAAGTACCATCCAGTGTTGAGAAAGGTGGGAGCCATCTTCAAAAAATGTTCCATGTTCCAGGCACGTTCCATAACCACAGGCCAACATGTATCCATGTGCCTCAAATCCCGTTGTTACCGAGCCAGTTGGTGAGATCACCAACTGACAACTCCGACAAGTTGGGCCTCAAAACTGGGATCATCGGATCATTCCTCCATTGCACATTCACATGGCAATATTGGGAAAGCCACCTCAAAATGGCAATATATGTATATATATATATATATGGCAATATGTGTCTAGGATATTCTAGGATAATGTAGAATAATTAGCCAATCTTCAGGGAAAAAAAAGAACTTAACAGAAAAACGTCTACAAGCCAGGGATACTTGGTGCTTCACCCTCCTTAGCAAGTAAATCAGAATTTTGGTTACAAGTGGGTCCCTAAAAACCCAACTCAAGCTACTGAAATACCAGGTACTAGTACTATTTTTGTTATTTATATATGTATATATTTAACCTTGAAAGATCTTTTGAGCAAAATCTATAATCTGCTTAGTAAGTAGAATGATCCACCGAGTAGGTGTATTATCTACCAGCTCAATCAGACCCAATTCATTGCCGATTCATGGCCAGTCACAACGCCAATCATATCCATTCCATTTAGATCCACTCGTAGAAGTGTATCTACACAAAAAATACTAAGTATATAGGCTGTCCAACCCCCATTGCTTTACTTCTAAATGGCGGGGTTCCGGGTTCCACAGCAAGCACGAATCGCACACGCAACCCCCACTTGGCAAACCGATGAATACCTGAATACCCGCATTTGAATCTCTATTATCTTTGTATACCCTCCGATAATCAAACATGGTAATGGGAAAAAATCTATAATTGGAGAATTGTCAAACTCTATGCTTGCTTATTGGAGGGGCTTGCTTATTGGAGGGTAAGTACCCCGAAGTTACTAAAAACCCATTGATATTTTTCTTGCTATCATATACAAACTTGTGTGAGCATTTTGAGCAAAAAAAACATGTTTACATACCCGACAGTAAACTAATATAGCCATGGAAAATAGCTCATTGGTAGGTGATTTATCTACTAGACACCTTGATTTCTATGTTATAGACTATAAATCACTAGAAGGTACCCATCACCAAAGAATCTACCAGCTTTGATCACAGGTAGACTAATGTTAGACCCTAGCTTAAAAACTAAAATAGCTTTGTAATACTAGGTTAGTTGGTACCCTGATGTTTAGTTCCCATCATTGAAATACATGTTCATCCATGTTAATCAACCGTGACCGTCACGTTGCAATTCTTTCTCCAATGACTCCAGGGAAAGATCGATGATCTCTGTGACCTGGGCCCATTGATTTGGAGCGCTGGGGTCATCCAAGATGGCTGGAGCATGCCTTTAAAGTCATCACTATAAATATCTATCGATATCAATAAATCACAATTTTGTTGCTGGGAAAATTATATATCTTGAATCTGTCAGAATTTCTCATAATTTGTCCATTGCCATGTTTGATGACCAGAGAAAATGAGGAGTTACGCATCCAGAGAGGTGAGTCATGGTGAGTCTGGTAGCTGATCATTGATTCACTACGGGCCATGTTCAACTAGAATACATTATATCTAAATTCCATCTTTGTTGCTTACATCCCATGAAACAACATTTTTTCATTTTTGCTGGTTAAATCCAATTCAAGATCCATTTGCTTGGTAAAACCAGGCTAAACCTCCGTTTTTGATCATTAACTCCCATGAAACCTCTATTTTGCTGGTCAATCCATGTTAAACCTCCATGTTTGTTGCTTGGTTCCAATCAACCCTGTTTTTGCTGGTGTACTTACTCCCATTTTTTGTTCCTTGATTCCCATTCAACCTCCATTATCTCCATTCTTCTTGGTAAATCCCGATGTCTATACCCATGTTACATTCGAGGCATTCGCCGGGATCAGCTCTCCGTGGGCCTCAGATCTCTCGCACTCGCGGATCAAGGCTAGATTGCAGCGGTGAAGGGCAGATTTCAGCGCCGGCCTGGTGAAGGGATCCAGGGTCAACTGGGAGGATCAGGGGAATATCAAAGGAGATCATAGGAATATGGGGATTTAATGGGATTTCATGGTGATTTCATTGTGATTTAAGGGGATATCATGGAAATATCATGGGAATGTACGGGTTGTTCATCGGAATATGGATATATAACATATATAACTATAAGCATCAATGAATGGAAATACATTGGGAATATAATGGGATATACTGGGGTTATAACGGGATTTAATGGGACCAATGATATGATATATCCCATGTTTAGGAAACATGATACATTCATGGTCATGGTCAGAGACTGGGAGGAATGGTGCAAAATAGGTCCATCTGGCTGTGTCTGAAAACCATATTTTTAGACACCCCATGTCCTGAATATCTCCCTCTCTTTACAGGGGAGGAGGTTCATGACATATCTGGTTGTGACTGAACATGGTGTATACCGTATTCCCCAAATGGCATGTTTTAAGAGGAACACTCATCATAAACCATGGATTTTAGGGGTACCCGATTTTCAGACACACCCATATCTGAGTTGAGACTGAAATATGGTACCCCAAATTTTGGGGGTTCAAAACCACATGTTCTCAATTGAACTTGCCATTTCGGGGCGAATTTCTTGGATCATGGGGAGGACGTGGGAACAAAACTGCGAATTGTATCTATGTCCTGCCATTGAGCGGTGAGTTTGGACTCAAATACCCATGCAAATGTGCAACATGTACTGTATTCCGAGAATTGTTTCAAGGATGTTTTTACAGGAAACGCTCTCAAAGTTGGATGGTAACCAGGGTTTTCTGCTGGTTCTCTGGGTTGCTTACAGGTGCTTTGCGTATCCCAGCCCTGTGGTCACATTAAACGCAATGTCTAAAAATTGTATACCAC